GCTCTTCAAAATTCAAACTTTTCTGGGTCGCAGTGAACCGAGTGAAAGTGAGAATATATATGTTGAGGTGTCACTTTCGATAGAAATATATATTTTTTTTAAACTTGAAGAATTTGTTGAAAAAAAGAGAAATAGGCATTTGGCCTTCGATCCGATGGTGTCAGGTCATACATAGATACATTCTTTTATTATTAGGTAATGATTCGAATCTAACCCTTATAAATTTATTAAAAACCAAAAAAAGGATCTAAAATTAGAATTTAAATCAGGCGTCTAAACATATCATGTCAAGTAGATGATCACTGGACCGTCAAATGTTAGACTTTTGATGGAGATATTATTGGGACTAGAGCTATGAAAAATATAAATCTAATGGCAACAATAATCTACTAGCTTTTATGGTTCAAAATGTTCTATGATTTGTCTAATTTCTGGTGTAATAATTGCCGTTTGCCAACCACACAATGGATTGATATTTTATTGGCATGTGAATCTTTGCTTCTGTTTTTTTTTGTTTTTTGTACAAAATCTTTCCCACAGCCTACCGTGTTCACCATCCTGCTCAGTTGAAATTGAGGAATAATTGGGGCTGTCTTACTAGTAAAATCTCCTCCATTAACTACAATTAGATTTTTATTTTTTAAAATTTCGAATTGAATGGTAAGAGATAATTTTTTGATTTTTTACACCATCATGTTATGTCATTTATACATAAAACCTATTATTGATATAGGTATTATACTAATTTTTTTGTGCATCATTGACTTACACTAAAAACTAAGATGCATATTGACTTCATGAGTAATTTATAATTTACAAACTTAATTAAATTAAAATTTTTAAGCATATGGGTATTACAATTAGAGTTGTAAAATAAATAGAGTCAAATTCCTTAAAATTTGAATTTGACTTGATGCTACATACAATAATAAATCAACTCAATTCAAATAACTTGATTCTGAATTTAATTTTGTACTTGATTCATGAGTTTTATCTGGTACTCAAATTTAATAAAGGATTTAAATTAAATTAAAATTAAAATTTTCAATGTTTTATATATATTAATTTTTAATATAAATGAATCAAATTAAGTTGAAATTAAAACTTACATTTGACTTTACTCAAATTTTTATGGTAAGTTTTCAACTCAAACTTGATTTTGAATAAAATTAAACCCAACTAGAGTTCAAGTCGGGTAATAAACTCATTTACAACGCTAATTACACCAACTTTGAAATCTTAATGACTACTAAAAGAATGTCTAGAACTGCAAAATTAACAAAGTGAAGGTTGAGGACCAACTTATACTTGAGTTAAAAACTAAGGACCAAAGAAAGCAATTTAGCTTAGATGTAGAGAAGAAAACACAGCATTTGTTTTCATCACGATTCACGTGCTAAAGAAAAGTATAATTAAAGTTTCAACTGTCACTGACCGTGATAATTGTCCCCGACCGTGATAATTGTCCTTGGGGAAGGGGCCTGACAGATTTTGACATAGACTAATTTGAAGACGTTTACAAAGTAGTGCAATTTCCCTAGAAGAAAAAAAAAAGGTTGTGCAATTCTCATCACTTTTTACGATTGAATAAATTTGGAATGAGATTTGGAGTCCGATTTAATAAATAAACAGAAACAAGGCAGTCTTTGCAATTATAGAGGGTTGCCTTTGACCGGTTACTTTGATGTAAGGATAAATTAAAAAAAGTCAGATATACCAAACGCTCCATGTAAGAAAGCCCAAAACAAAAGGACACCCTATTGATTTTCTCAATAGATTGCAGTAATGAGACGATTTTGATAAGTCGTATATCACTTGTTTGAACTTGATATACTTTTTTTTTTAACAAATTTATAAGAATGGAATTTCAACCGTTTCTCAGAAGAAAAAAATCCATTTTACAAGTGACTTAAGGTCATTAAACTGAATGTCCAAATGCGTTTGAACTTAATGTATTTGAAATTTCGTTTTATAAATAAGGAATTTAAAATTTGATTTCCCGACCACGCCTCTC